TGCCATTAGACTAAGTCTTAGTTTGGTGACATGGGGCTTAGCATAAGCAACCCATCTTGGGCGTGTTGTCTTGTTTTTAACATTATCTTATAAAATATAAGAGTTTTCATTTTATCAGTTTACAAAATCCAACCGTATTTTGACTTTCTTGGTTTGCTGTTTCTGTGTACCATCCTTTATTTCCTGGGTTTGTCTGGGGCGAATTGTTGTCCTTCCTGCGGATTTCCCTCCCAAGGGTTTGTAAGTGCTACTGATTTTTCTGTTCTACTAACACTGCTAAAGTTGGTAGATTATGTATTTACTCTGATTTTTTTCAATGCATAAATCAGCATCTGCCCAACCAGAAATGCCTTTTAGCCAGTTTGACATCTGCCACGGGAAACTGTTTTTTCTCCTCTCTCTGTGATGTTTCCCTTTTTTTCCCACAAAAGCTAATTTATCTCTTTTTCTTTTTCTGAAAGCAATTTGTTATTAAAGTAGGAGCCAAACCATGGGTTGGTAAATTCTCCATCATGAAAAAAAACCACCGTAACGGAATCTAATAGTTTACTAGTACGTACCACCACCAAGCTTTCTGTTTAATTTTGTTTTTAAAATGGTAATGACATGTGCAAAGGCTATTTTTAATGGATCTGCTCTGATCGAATCTCCGGCCTGGCTTGGTGTCCTGGCCACATTCTGGAACGAGTGTTGGCTTTCAGGCGGCTTACTTGGATAGTAGTGTTGGTTTTATTCAAAACCAAAGTCAAGGGCTAATTTCACAATTAGACATGGCTTTTATGGGGGTCCTGAGGTTTTGTCACTTTATCTGTGGCACAGGGCCTAGCCCCTAAGCCTTGAAGGGTCAGATTTAGAGTCTTATCAGCTTCACCTGGCAGTCCAGCTCCAGCTAAGGTGCAGCTGACAAAATCCCCAGGGAACCTGGTCAGCAAGGCACAAAGCCAGCTTGTCCAGGCCAATGGGAGATGCAATTGGTGACCGCAGCTGCTCGCTCAGAATGTCTCTTTGTTAGGGATGCAGAAGTGTGATTAAAAACAACGAACTCTGAAGAGTTTGGAGCCAGAAAACAGGAAAGTTGATGCTCCAAGGACAGGTTGTCATTTTACTGCCTTCGGGCACCACAAGTTCAGAACCCAAATGCTCCCATCTGGTGATGGGTAGCAGTCAACAGTCTGAGTACTCACTCTTCCCAGGGCAAGGGGCAAACACGGCCTTCCCAGTGCCACTTTCTCTGGATGCCCAGCTGACCTGGGTGCTCCTGACAGCTTCCAGGCCCCTGAACAGAGCCGATGTTTGTATCCGTCAAAGACAATCTTTGACCCGCTAATATTTTTGTGTTTAGCTCTTGTACTCTTGACGCCCTCCCCTCCATAGCAAGTGACAGGCCTGTGAGGATGCCCATCCCAGAGTCTCCCCGAGTTAACCTGGTGAGGGCGGGGGCACAGTGAGGGAGGGCAGAAGTCCTGAATCCCATGGGACATACCTGGTGCCTTGGAGGGTAGAGAACTCTAGGGGAGTCACATGGAAACTGTCAAAGGATAATTTTCAGAAAGTTACAAATCAGATCCACTTACATAGAATGAGCATCTGATTTATTCAACTCTGTAAAGAAAGACCCAACAGGGAGACGATGCCAGCTCAAAGGAGAATTGAGGAATAGCATTACGGGCTTGGAGAAAGAATGTCGAGGGGAAATTCCTAGGTTAACTACAAAATTGATTCATTTTTCTAGAAAGCAGTAAACCCGTAAGCTCTGGGGCGACCTTTTCTACTAGACAGGAATCATTTGCACCTCTGTTGGACAAAAAGACCCACAAATTAACACATAACTTTAGAGTCTGGCCTTCAATCAGTAATAAAGAATGCACCAAATAGAAGAACATTTCCCGGATAATTCAGTAATCCTTGTTAGGCCTGTTGAACAATGTCCAAAATGGCATGAAAATCACATGTTGACTTCTCTGTGCTTTTTTCCAAGTTTCAGGTAATTTTTTTCTTAACAGAGATACAGAGGAGAGCAAGGAGTGAAGAACATGGCGCTGGGGGAGGGAGAGTGGGGCAGCCCCCTTCACTGAGCCCCGGCTTCACTCCCAGAGCTCGCCCACCATGGCCCCCACTGCAGAGGGTGGAGATGGAGCCCATGGCCGCTCCGCACACTTCCTGCACTCTCATGGGCCGCCCCCTGTCCCAGGACTGACCCTCTGTCCCTGATGCCTTTGAAGACACTAGACATGCATCTACTGGGTCTAAATATACCAATCTCACAGAAGGGGAAATATCCCCTCCTAGGACCCATGAGAAATGACTGCATGTCCACCCCTAGTACCTCCCATTCCAGCAGGCCCCCAGGAGCCAGGCAGTCCTGACGCTCTCCCAGGCATGGGGAGCAGACCGGACTATGAGTAAGTTCGGTGGTGAAGGCACCACAAGCAGGAGCGGGCAGAGCTGGGACAGCACTCACGTCTTCTGGGACCAGGGCCAGGTTCTACTCTCCACTCAGCCCACCTGGTCCTATCCCAGGTCCGATGCCCTGAACTCCCTGCCGCTGCTGTGCACGTGGTGCTGGGTGCCCGGCCCTGATCCTGGCAGGCCCCTGCCTCTGACCTCGTTTCCCACTAGCCTGTAGGGTCTCCATGGCCCAACCCAGGATTGTGCTAAATGGACTCCTTGTCCTCACATAGCATGGCCATGACTGGTCACCAAGTGGATAGGCCATGTGTCCCTGCAAGAATGAGGGCAGGGCAGAGGGCACGGACTCCTCATACCAGTCCTGAGCCTGGACAGCATCTGAGGCTACCCAGTGCTTCTGGTCATGCCCCATTTCCTTGAGCTCCATGACCTCCCCTGTCCGCAGTGCTCCTGTGTCCCAGACGGAGACAGCCAGTGCTTGGCCTCCAGGGTCTGTGGACAGGGCATGGGAAGAACCTAAGGGAGACTTCAGGTCTCGTGGCGGGGGCTCCTCTCTGGAAAAGGCGAGAAAGGTTGTGTACCTGCGAGAAGCTGTGTGTGTTCCTGTAACACCTTAGCAAAAAAGACACAAAATCCAGCAAGGGGAAAGTGAGACCTGCCTTGTATTTTATTTCATGTTTATAGAGAGAAAATAAAGGAGAAGAGATTTGGAGAGACAGTTGAAAGGAGACGAGGTTAAATTAAGTTTTAATATAAGTTAAAAGATAGTTAGACTTCTGCACATTGAGGCACATATACCACATGCCTCTGGGCCCATGCAGGAAGCCGACCTGCACAGAGCACGGGTGGGTAGCCACCTCCACTCCCAGCGCGCCCAGGCTGGTCTCGCACCGCCCGATGCCTGCCTGCTCCAGACGTTGATTCCTTGTCATTCCCCCCCAGCTGTCCTTCCAGCTGTCCACGAGGAAGGACAATTCTAAGATGCTGGTCCAAAACTGTGATCTTTCCTAAGGCGCTTACATTGTCCCACAAACAGAAGAGACCCATGGAGCTGTAAACGACCAGCTCCCGGAAGGCCCTGGAAGCCGGGTTTGCTGTCTGGGGCTCCCACGTGGGGCACTCCCTCAGTGTGTCCGGGCCCCAGGGAGAGGGCAGGGGGTATTTTTGATGGAGCCCTCCTGGCCTACAGGAAAGAATAGTTTTTAATCAGGCTAAGCAATTAGGCCCAAGTAACATAAAAATCTGTTTGAGATCCAAGTCCTGGGTCCCTTCAGTGAGGATCTTGAGAGAGAAAGAGGAAGCAGAGCAGGGGTTCATTGGAGGAAAGCAGGGTGTGGAGGTGGGTGGGCCGGAAGAGACAGTCAAGTTGGGGCTGAGGAGGGGAGCAGACAGAGCCAGAGGAGAAGCAAAGGCTTTGCAAGGTGAATGCTGCCTGTCCTCCACCACCTCGAGTGGTGTGGTGTTCCCAACGGTGAAACACCAGCTCGCTAACCCTGAGAAAGCAGACAAAAGGATGGCCTTTGAGTTTCACGGCCTCCTTCTGTCTGGGGCAGAAACACTGCAATCTCTACCGTGCACCAGGCGCTGCGAGGTAAACCTGGCCCATTTCCCGACACTTGAAACACAACTGGCCTCCTGAATCGTCCCAGCACCACTTTTAAAACATGTATTTTTAAAACTTTTAAAAATACATATAAAATTTACCATTTTAACCATTTTTAAGTGTACAGTTGAGCAGTGTTGAGTGTATTCACGTTGTTATGCCACTAATCTCCAGAACTTTCTCACCGTCTGAAACTCTCTATCCTTTAAATAATTCCCCATAAGACACATCTACTTTCTTTTTTTTTTTAACAAAAATGTTGATTGCTAACATTTCTTTTTGGTGAGGAAGATTGGCCCAAGCTAACATCTGTTGCCAACCTTCCTCTTTTTTCTTTTTTTCTCCCCAGAGCCCCAGAATATAGTTGTATATCCTAGCTGTAGGTCCAGACACATCTGTTTTTAACGACTACTTTCTTCAAGAGAATTTTATCTCCTACTATGGTCTATGTTTGCCTACTTCTTTCTCCATCTCTCCTCTCTCACACCACACACATGAGTGTACACATGCACACATGTACACACACAGACACATGCAAGCAACACAGCTCACTCATAAGGCTGTATCGCCCTCAGCCCTCTCTCTGTGACTATTGTTGACAACGACATACGAAGAAACACCAACTCCACCAATTCAAAGAGACCTCGCAGAGGAGGACTGCTGCTTCTGCCAAGGGGTCTCCAGGCCCAGGGACCCATCCACCTAGGACTCTCAGGCAGGAAGAAGTCTTAAGCCAAAGGAAGCTTCCAGAAGGAAGCTAAGTTAGCAACTACTGGGTTTAAACCTCTAGAAGTGGTTGTTACCCAATGAAAAAAGGATTCCTCCTTGGATTTGCAGTGGGAAATGGAGCCAGACGTCACCCCATCCTTTGTACTCAGTGATAAACTCATTCCTGGTGGGGAGCCATCAAGCCGACCAAAGGCGAGGAGTCTCCCTTGAAGCCAGGAAGGAGGAATTGGACATGCCCATCTTTCACCATCACCTAATATGAAACTAGAAACCAAACTGGCAAGCAGAGAGGCATGCATGAGGAAACGTGTTGGTGCACCATTGTCTCTTCATAGAGAAAGGCAGACACAGCGGTGAGTGTGCTCCAGAACCCCCTAGGCATCCGCACACTCCTTCTTCATCACAACGAATTCACCATTCCAGGGGAGCGCTCCCACCACAAAGCTGCACATTACTCTCTGAAAAAGACCACCACCACAACAAAAATTAGTAGTGTGACAAAAGAAAAAGAAAAAATTGTTCTGTTGCTAGGTATCAGCTCAGGAATATGCTGGAAGATGGGTCATCACTCATCAAGGAAAACTCCCAGAAATCTGCTAGCTAGAGGCTGCAGACTGTTCCATCAGCAGTTACCCATGGGAGTCTCTGTGCCCACATCATCCGCAGATAGACAGCAAATTCTAACAATTTCATATTTTGGTGGGAGATCACCTTGTAAACTTGATTTTATTTTTAATTATCTTTAATATTTTCTATAATGTAAATGAAGAAATTCTATGTAGATATAAACTAATGTATGTTATCTTAATAATTAAATAATTCCTTTTGTTCTAATAACAAGTCAGGGTAAGAACAATTTAGAGGGTTCTAGAGCCTAACACACCTTTAATTTCAAAGATTTCTTCTCTCTCTTTCAAAACATCATTGAAATGACAAATGGAATATTTTATGTGTGTGTGACAGATGGATGAATGGGTGGATGGCTGTTGTGTAGATGGGTGGATGGATGAGTGGGAGGATGGGTGGATGGGTGAGTGAATGAATGGCTGGCTGGATGAATGGATGGGTGGGTAGATAGAGAGATGGGTGGATGGATGCTTGGATGAGTGGATGGATGAATGGGTGGATGGATCATTAAATAGGTGGAAAGATGCATGAATGGATGGATAGATAATGGATGGATGGATGGATAGATAGATAGATACATAGATAAGCAGGCAGATAGTAGTCCTGGAAAAACAGCAGAAGATATCTTAAATAATTGACTGGAAATATTGAGGTACTTCCAGGAACGATGAGGCAAATGGAGTCAGAGAGAAGGAAGTTTGGTCTCTGATGAGTATTGAACACATGCAAAGGGGGACTATGGAGGCCTCCTTTCCCCACAAACCCACAAAAAAAATCCCAAATTAAGATGGTTTTATGGGTAAATTACATCAAACCTTGGGAACCAAAGGCTCCTTTGGTTTTTAAACTGATCCAGAACACAGCAAAAGATGGAAAGCCCCCATCCATGGAGTGGGCTCCAAGAAGCATGCCCCCCAGGCACTCAGAGAGAGCAGAAATTTGCTGTTAAAGAGATGGGAATGTCAGGTGTGCACATGGACACCAGGTTCAACAAAGCAGTCCAGCCAAAGGAATAAGGAATGTTCTATGCTGTATCCATGTGGGGTTGCCCAGACAACTTGATAAAGATGAACATTCACCAAACAAGCTTACACACTTGTTATCTACGTACCGGTCATCACTTTCAAAAACCTACAATCTGCTAATGTGGTTGAGAGCTAACCACTGCCAATCAAATAAAGTTATAAAACCACACACACACAAAGACAAGTGTACCATATTCCAAACATCTAAGAATGGCTCAACATTAGGGAATCTATTATTTTAATTAACCACACTATGGGTCAAAGAAGAAAAGATATTCAATATACTTAGTAGAAGTTGAAAGAATATTGGATAGAAGAAAACCTTCTGAATTTTAAAAATAACTCCAGATAAGAGAGAATTGGGGGAAGTTCAGAAATCAGTACTTGATGCAATAATTAATAGTAGGATATAAATACTGAAAACATTCCCGTTAAATCCAGGAATAAGAAAAACAGTCCAGCATTCTTACTTTTCAACATTATTCCAAAGGCTCAGAAAGAAAGAAACAAAGTTTTCATTATTGATAAATGTGTGCTTAAAAACATACGCCATAAAACCAGGGTGTCCCTGGAAAACTTACATACAATCAACGAGCTCCTTGAGAATAATTCTCCTCAATTCTCTTTAATATTTCCTACAGACAGGTAAAAAGCAACAACTTTCCCATAATCCCAAAAAGCCTAGTAGAAAATATAAATTTAAACCAACCATGCTTTTACCAACGGTAAAAGATAAAACCGCTTAAGCGTTTGTCCCGGCAGGTATCTACTATTAACTGGACCTGATGAGACTCGCTCAGTTTGAGCACACAGAGGTGGCGTGAGTCAGACATCACGGGAGCGCACTTCACTAATGGTCCCTTGCGATCTCCTATGCTATGGCTCTGTAAAGCAGTGGTGCTCAAAGGAGGGTCCCGTGGCCAGCAGCAGCATCACCTGGGAACTTGATAAGAATGCAGATCCTTGGATTTCACTCTGGACCTATGAATCAGAACCTCTGCAGATAGGACCCCGCTGTCTGGGTTTATCAAGGCCTCCACGTGATTCTGCTGCTCGCTCACGTCGGAGAAGCACTGGTGTAAACAAAGGGGCAATGCCTTTTGGTCAAACCTGCAGAAAGCCTGGGGCCGAAGCACTTGGATGGACAATCCGAGGCTCTCACTACCTCTACCTCTGAGGTCAGAAATACAGGGTTGAGGCCAAAAGTCCCTGGACCAAGCCAGCCCTTTGGTTGGGAGACTTTGGGCTGTTCCCTGACCTTCATGGAAACTGGGCTGAGCCCGGCAAGAATCAGCTGTCAGCCTGGGAGGATGGCGACACAGTCTTGCCTAGACGCTGCTTATTCTCCAGCACCCAGAATAGCACCTGGTGCAAAGTAAGCTTTGATGGGCGGTGAGTGAATGAATTTCCTTTTGTGCCTTCATAAGGATGAGCAACTGTGGGGTCAGAAACAGCTGTGTTGTTCATCCAGGTCTAAGAGGGCAGATTTTCAGTGACTACGTGTTAGCAGATTTTCCTGCACCAAGAGGCCAGTGTTGATGGAGCCCTTGCAATAGGAGTGACCTTGACAGCATCTTGTCCCCAGAACGAGGGGTGAGGAAAGACTCAGAGGGTCCACCACATTCTGCTGCCCTGCACCCTCTGCTCCAAAAACCACAGGGTTGGCCACTTCTGGCGCTAAACACTGGGAGTAATCCAGACCTCAAAGAGTGGGTCTGGACACTCTGAGTTCTCTCTGGGGTTCAGAGCAGCCAAGACCATCACAGACAGTCGGTTTGTCACCTACCTTTTCCAGCTTGATGTTTTCTTGAACGATACAGTTTTCGTTATTATCCGAAAGCTTTCTGCAATTGCTGCGGGCAATTTCAACATCAATAAAGTATACCAAACGATCTGTGACCTGTCAATTAGCAATCAGGCAATTTTATTCAAAAAAGTTTTATTTTACTTTAAAAAGTTTTAGCAAACACTAAAAGAATCGCTCTCACTCTCATCCTCTCTCCCTTTCTCCTCCTCCATCTAAACATACTTTTAGGAAAAGGCCTCTGACATCCGCTGCCTGGGTTCCTTTGCACACTCACACTGATACCAGCAGCAGCCACTACCTAAAGCTGGATATGCAGGGAAAAGGCTCCTTCCTGGTGTGCGGCCTCCTTGAAGGCAAAACCTTCTAAGTCCATTTTCTGTCCCAAAGTCCAGGGCACGTGCTCAGTGTGGTTGGGAGGAGGATGAGGCCTCCAGAACCATCGGCTCTCCTGGGCCCCAGACGTCACAGGTCCACATGCACCAGGAGGGAGGGCAGACCCCTCGGCCACATAGGACTCTCCTCTCTGATTCCTTTCCCACATCCCCTTTCAGATCCTGTCATCTGGTGACATCTCTTGCCCTTCGGGGCTACCCCCCAAGGCCCTGCCCACCACCTCCACAAGCAGTCTTCGAGGAATCCGTCTTCTGTTCTCCATGGAGCGTGTAGTAAGCAGAGCAGCAGTGGGTTTACATCAAGGCATCCGTGTTCACTGATTCGTTCATGGTCAAACACAGGTAAGGCTACTCAGGACGTCCATTTACGCCTGTATTCATCGATTGTGAAAGATTACAGCAGGAGATGAAAGCAATGTCTGCAAGCGGGGTCCAGGCCACCTGGACTCACCTGTTTCTATCAGGCCTTTCCCCAGTGCTTTCTCCAGGTCTGAATGAAGTTGTATTACATTTTAGCTGTGTTCCAAGGAATAACCAGGGACACTCTGGCCTGTGTTGTGGGGAGAAGCTGGTAAGAAGGCATCAAGAAGTGACCAATAGAAGGTTTGTACTTAGGGAACCTCGAAACCCCATGGAGGTGAACCTGGTCACCAATAGAGCTTCCTGTGGTCGTGATACTTGCTCACCGTCACCAGGCACTGTTCACCGGGCTTTGCACGCGATATCTCCCCAGCCAGCACACCAGCCCTCCGGAGGCAGGCTGTCACTCTTGATCTTTATCAAGTGAGGAAACTGAGGCACGGAGGAGCTAAATAACTATCCATCCAGTAAGCAGCTAACCCAGAGCTCAAGCCAAGGCGTTCCTGCACTAGAACTTGCATCCTAACCTCCGTGCTTCACTCCCCTCCCTGCTAATCCAGCCAAGGGAAGGCCGAGGACTGCTCTGTGTTGATTCCTGGTAAACGCGAACCAGAGCTGTGCGAAGCTGGAGGCCATGTGGTTACATGGACATCTGCACTGGATCCTCACAACCCCTTTCTAAAAACAAGTTAACCAGAGTGATAGTTTTAAAACCCAAATCTGATCACCTTGATGCTAAGAACTCCCAGACCTGGTATTTTTTTGGCTTTTCAGTGCTCTAAGAGAGAGCCAAAGTCTTACCCAGCCCCACGAGGCACTGCATGGTCGGGTCCCTGGCCAGTCACATTGGCTCCTTAGAGTTGCTGAAATGGGCCATGTGCCTTCCCACTAGCAACTTGCTGTGCCTGACTGCTCTTCCCCACCCCCATGCACCCCCAGAATCTTCCCTGGTCCCCTCCTGTAGCAGAGGCTGTGAGTGGTATGCCCCATGCTGTTCTCAAACACATTGCCAGTTCTGGGGGTCCCTGCCCAAGGGACTTCTTGCCACCAGTAGGAGTAAAGGGCTCCCAGAGCAGCTCTTAACCAATGACGGATGGCAGTTTGTGGATAAGGAGCCCAGCTCCTCACCTGCAGGGGGGCCAACTCCATGGCAGGCTCTGCACCCTTCTCCCTGAGGCCCCAAGGTACACGGAACCCAGCTGCCCATGGTGGTCACCTGGTCAGCAACTCACCCTGCTCTGGCTGCCTCCCTGTCCTCTCTTACTTCCCCTCTGGCCTCCCGATGCTTCCGGGGATGGCCTCCCGATGCTTCCGGGGATAGCCTCCCAAATAAACTACTTTCACCTGAATCCTAGCACAAGGGCTTGCTTCTGGGGAAACCCAAACAAAAGCATTTCCCGCCTCCTTCACCTGTTTAACCCGTCCCTCTTCAGGTTGCGTCCTCAACATCACTCCCTGGAGAGGTTGTTCTCAGCCTTGACTGCATATTGGGATCACCTGGAGGGTTTTAACGCCTACTGAGACCTGGGTCCCAACCAGAGACCATTTAATGGTGGCAGTGCAGCCAGTGGAGGTGAGAAACGCTCTCTGAGGAGACCTCCCCCAATGCCCGGGCCGCCGCGCACCGTGCACCACAATAACACCAGAGCACACCTTCCTGGGTTAGCAGTTTTTCCTTCTAATTGGACTGCCGGCTCCCTAAGGTCTGTGATCACTTCTGTCCACCTCGTTGCCCCATCTACAGCGGCTAGCATGGAAGGGTTTGTGAGAAATTTGCTACATGCATGTGTTACTTGGTACCAAAGAAAGCAAGCTGTGAACAGGACTAGGGATGTTACAAGAGCCAGAATCCGTTCCTTTATTTCAAAGGGCCAAGGGAGCATGCCTCCAGGTGGACTGTGGAGGGCGCCCAATCCATAAAGGGTGCTGCGCCATCCGCATAAGGCACTGGAAATACGGTGCTGACGGCTCACGTTTTCCCAGAGACATGGTCATAAGCGCCAACACATAAACCGGCCTAGCCCCTGCTGACAGAGGCAGCGTTGAGAGGGTAAACGCTGAAGTGAGCTCTGCCAACAACGACTGTCTGTTGAGTGTCTTTACAACTCATTCCTATGTGTTTCATGATGTAATTACCAGCCACACCACAACTAACTGACTGAGGCTGGGACAGGCAGCGGAATCCCAAAACCCAAGGCCTTTGCTCAGACATGGCAGTCAGGGCCTCGTGCTGCCAACTCCAGGGGGCGTCACCCACACTGGAATCCAAGTAAGCAATGCTTCCCAGCAGCGGGCAACTCATGGCCCATGAGGAATGTGATATTTCTATAAACAGAAAATCACAATGCCTCCACTTCCCCTAAAGAAAGGTTGAATTCAAAGAATTAAAGAATATTGGAGGAGGCACCTTATTAGCTTATACATTAAATAGCACCTCGTGTTGATTTTCAACCTCACATTCCACATTATGCGGCTAGATTGAAATGTTGCCCATGGCAACAGTATTACAAAATATTCATGGCGCTTAATTGGTCCCCCAACCTTAGCAAATACAAATCATGAACATTTGATTTGCAGTTTGGGGTTTAAATGAGTTAATATATGTAAAGTACTTGGAACAACAGTCCAAGCAGATATAGAAGGTGCACTGACGTTGCGGTCACATGCAAGTACACAAAGTACCTATCCACTTGAGCACTCCCATATTCAGGATTTCTGTCTGTCAATGTTTTTCTCAAATGCCCACTCTTTCAGCCTGGCTTCAGTCGGAGGCACCATATGCATATTTGCATATTTGGAGAGAACACCTTTACCTGCATCTTGACTTGCCCAATCTTGACCACCTGGAAGACGTACTTGTCCTCACTCTCTTTGTTGTACTCTTGCAGGGCAAACCACAGACATTGCCTCACGTTGGCATTTGAGGCACTGATGATGTTTAATTCCCTCCATGCCTTAAGCCTATTCTTTTCTGGGTCTGTGCTGGCCACCAGGGCCACCAGAATGGTGAACAGGAGCAGGCTGGACCCATGGGGTCTGGTCATGGTCCCTCCGTCCAGGGGCACAGGCACGCCTCCTCTGTTCTCAGGGCTGGAGCTGCGGGTGGCATGGGGTGACCACTGCTGCTGCTGCCATAGGTTCAAAGATCTTACCACTATGGCATCAGCGCAGCCAGATTCAAGACAGAGCCATTAGGGTCACCCTATAGGGCTACCCTTGTCCTCCAATGAGACCCACCCATGAGAAGCCAGCTAAGGAGTCTCTGCTCTCAGCCTCCCGCCCTCGTCATCCTGTGTCGTGGCTGCAGCTGCAGGTCCAGGGAGAGCGCTTAGAGCCAGATGCGCCGACACCTACCCTGTGCGCCTCACGGCCCACTCCTGTCTCTGCGCCTCAGGCCTGAGAGATGTGGCTGGGAAAAGTGCCGCAGCCCCAAGGTTTCCTGGCTCTGGTCCTCTGTGGGCTTCCAACCTGCCCCACCCTCCGGCTACTCCTTCCTCCTCGTGGAGTTGGGCTCTGACCCACACGCAGCCAGTGGGTCTCCCAGCTCTCCAGCACTTTCAGCCAGTGCCTATGCCATGGTCCAAGGGCCCCCTTGCCTCTGATCTCCGGTCTGTCTTCACCCTCTGAGTCCACGCCCCCGCAGTGAGGTCATACTTTGTGATGTAACCCAACACCTGTGACCCTGCCTCAGTGAGGCCACCACTCACCTGCTGGCCACTGGCCTTCAGTCCAGGCAGCTCACACACAGCAGGCAAGTGCCTCCTGCTTCTGCCCTCAGAGTGGAGGGCCCCTCAGAGGCCGCCTGTGTTGTGACTCTGGCTTCCTAAATGTCTGGCTTCTGGAGTCCCTCTGTTTGGGCTAATAGCACCTCCCTTCAATGTCCTGCCAGGATGTAGGCCACATAGGCCACCCTGATGCCTGGGCCTACACCTGAGTGGGAGGGCGTACATGCACCCCTGGGCTCTCAGACATTCTGCGTCTCTGTGAACATCCCAAGTGGGTGTCCAGCAAGTTCCTGGAGGGGCAGAGAGGTGGGCATTTGTCCCAGAGTGCAAAGATTGATGGATGGGCTCTTGACCATGAGGAGAGACAATGTACAGGAAATAACAGATGGTCATAAATCTGCCAGGCAGGTTGTAAAACATGGCAGGGTATGAACACACCACATTGTATTTGAAAAATCGATAGATTTTTTTTCAGTTGTTTCTCATTTTCAGCTGTTATAAACTCTACTGTAGTGGACAATACTTTTCCAATACCTTTGCAAAATTACACAGATATTTCTGTATAATAAAAGACTAGATGGAAAATTGATGCAAAGGCTTTATACAAATTTAAATTTAGTATATATTGCCAAATTGCTAGTCACTTACCAGTAATGTATTCATGATCTTAAAATTTTGCTGCATGTTAAAAGCACTTGGGGAGTTTTAAAAGTGCCAGGGTCACTCTCACCAGCAGAGTGAATTTCTGGGAGAGGGTCCCAGAAGTCGGCATATTTTAAAGTTTTAAAGTTCCTGAAGGTTCCCACGCACAGCCAAGTTTGAGAACCAGTGTACTGTATCTGTGTTTTCTGAACGTTAATGTGCACATGAACCACTTGGAATCTTGTTAAAATGCAGATTCTGATTCCATGGGTCTGGGGCGGGGCCGCAGATTCTGTATTTCTAACCAGAAACTCAGACCACAACTTGACAGTCCTTTCTTCCCCATATCTTTGCTTCAGCCGAGTTACTGTTTCTTAATTGGATATGAGAACAATTATGTTTCCTTGATTTGTATTATTGGTCAAAGTTAGGCATCTTTCCATGTAGACTCAGTAGTTTTCCTTCCATTACTGTCCTGCCCAGTCTTCCTAGGGCACAGTCTTTTCTTATCAGTGTCCAGGGCTGTGGGGATGCGTTAGCGAGATTAACGTTCCATTTTACATATGTTCAGCAAGACTTTTTCCCAATTTATCTTCCATCTTTGGAATTTATTCATAGTTGATTTTTGTTTTTAATATTTTCCATAAAAGAATTTTAAATTTTTATATAGATAAATTTATCCACCTTTTCCTTCATAGCTTCTAACTTTTATGACAACTTTTATTTTAAAAAAGCCTTCTTGACTTAAAAAAAAAATTAACCCATTTATTTTATTTATATTTTCATAATCTGTAAAATAATCACATACCCCTCACTTACTCCTGGTGAGCGTGTAAACTGGTACTATCTTTTTGGAAAGCAAGTTGACAAAGCACATTAAAACCCTTAAAAGTAGCCATGTTCTTTGACCCAGTAATGCCACTTTAAGTTATCTCAAAGCTATAACAGAAGTTAAATTTTTTCACTGAAAGATGTTGACTGCAGCCTTACTTAAAAGAACTAAAACCTGTTAACATTTAAATATCCACCTTTAGTAAATATATAAATGCGTTACAGTATGAATAAAATGAGCCTCTTACATTACCTTAAAAACTGTGTATTTGAGGAATTCTCAATGGTGTCAGAAAATGCTCATGAAAAAATAAATTATATACAAGATGCAAAACATCTAAATATGATCCAATTTTTTGTAAATAAAAATATTTTATGAAAAAATGCAGGAGAATCTTGACCATACTTGGACTGCCTGTGCACATCTCCAGCAGCCTCTCCCACCTCACCGAGCAGCACCTAAGGGCCTCGCCTCCCCCGCCAGGCGGGGCCTCCCCTTGGGGTCTGGGTGTTGCCTCTTCTGGTTTTCCTCCCTCCTCTCCTCACGGTGGCTCACGCCACCCTGTTTGTCAACATGAATGTCATTTCCACAGAGCCCCCGCCAACCCAAATCTACAACGCCTCTCCCAGCTATTCTTCCAGCTACTCCCAACGACTCTTCTAGCTGCTGGCCTGGCAGCTCTTGTTTTCACCTCCCTGTTTATTCCCTCCACATCATTTATCCTAACCTGCAGTACTTTATTGGTGAATTTCTTTATCCTATGTCTTTCCTCTCAAGAAATAAAATGGGCTTTCTAGGGACAGGGAACCCTTTCAACTGCTCATCACTATGCCACCAGAGCCTGGAACAAGGCCCAGCATGGAGTATATGTGAATATTTTTTGAGTGAATGAACAATGGTTTTGCTTTGATGAAAGAAAAAATATTAATTTCTGATTTTTCTTTATATTTGTATTTCTTCAAATTTCTATATTATATATGCATTACTTCAATAATTAGGGGAAAACATCCTTAGCATGGTTACGATGGTATGTAAATAAAAATAGGATTAGATTAAAGAGCAGTTCATGTGCTTAAGACAGAAGGTTGAAGAGGAGATAGGGGTGTGAGGGCCATGAATGGGCTGCACATGACTTTGATCATTTGTCACCTCTAGGGAGTCAGCCGCATGGGCTCCTCCATCCCTTTTGCCTCCCAATCCCTCTACCACTGGGGTCAGGATGCTTCAGGCACTATCCACACAAGGCTTGACTCAGGGGAGACCCTGGTTCCGGGAAGCAGATCCAGCTCTAGAGACTGCAGCAGCCTCTTCCTAGGGGCCTGTGTTCCCACAGAGATCAGGGCATGTAGGTCCCTGTTCCAATTCTATTGTAGCCAAGGGTGGCCCTTAGGCCAGGGACCTAATCACCTAGGAAGCCAATATCCATATCTGTAAAATGAAGACAAGCCTTCTCTGACCCCCAATGGTTCCCATGACCCAGTGAAATCTGGGTGATTGGGACCCCTCAGGAGGGGTACCCATGTAGGTTGGGACATGACCTGAGCCTTCACTGGGTTTCATGATACGAGTCATTCATTGCCCCTTAGGCCAAGGGGCTCATGAAGGACAAGCCACAAGACACAGCCCAGCAGACATGGAGCCTGCTTCAGAGGGTCTTCAGTGCCAGGAGCCCCACCACTCCGGGGCCCACTGAGTCTGGACTGCTGGAGTAACTCCACCACCTGCCCCTCAGCCCTTTCCTAATTAACTACCAAGACCAAAACACCTGTTGGACTTTCTCTGACTCCAGGGTGCATTTGAGTCTTTTGTTCGCTTGCTTTTTCCTTTTCTTATGAACCCTAGCTGCCCAGAGTTTGGCTTAAATGTCATCCTTTCCTTTGTTCGTGACACTCCCAGCACTGGTCTATGCATGGCTGTACAACACAATGAACACCCATGAATCCATCACACAAACAAGAGCTAGAATATTATCATATCTGACACTGTGTGCTCCTTCACTGTCCAGGGTGCCACCAGAGGCAACAGGAAAATGCAGGAGTGTCTCTGTTCTGATAAAACTATTTACAGAAACAGGCAGCAGGCCAGATCTGGTCTTTGGGCCATAGTTTTATCATTCCCACTAAGGGTAGTAAGTTGAACCACAGGGAATTACCAATATGGGACTGGTATTGATCTACAAAAATAGTGACTTCAAATGGTTCAGCCTAATTGTACTCCTCAGGGATTTAGTTATTTTGGCCACTAAGTCCACATTCCTCCAAGATGTCTCAGCTGCTCTGTCTGGAATTTTGACCTGGACTAAGGCTCTATATGGGATGAATTTAAGGAAGAGAAAGGTGATGCACCCCACAGTATAAAGGCTCAGGTACCCTGAGCCCTTGTAGATCACCTCCTTTGCTGCCACTCCATCAACCACCGCCTGTAGTGAGGGATTCACCCTTGAACCCTGATGAGGCGATCTTGAGAGGAGGCAGTCCCCATAAAATGCAACTCATCTGTGTTGGTGTTCTATTGCTGCTGTAACAAATCACTACAAATTGAATGACTTAAAACAACACAGATTTATTATCGTACAGTTCTGAAGGTCAGGAACACAAAACGGCTTCACTGGGCTGAAATCAAATTATGGCCATGGCTGCATTCCATTTGGAGACTCTAAAGGAAAATGTATTTCCTTGCCTTTCTAGCTTCCAGAGGCTGCCTAAATTCCTTGGCTCATTGTCCCTTCCTCCATCTTCAAAGCTAGGCATGAAACATCTTCAAATGTCTCTCTCTCCCTTTCTCTTTCAATCTTTCTTCCCTCTGCTGCTTCCATCATCACATCTCTGTCTCTGACTCTGATTCTGACCCTCCTGCCTCCCCCTTATAAGTCCCTTTGTGGTTACATCGAACCTACCCAGATAATCCAGGATAATCTCCCCATTTCAAGGTCCTCAATCACATTTGCAAAGTCCTACATGCAAAATGCGTTCACCCCACCTCATGATTCCCATAGTCTCAACCCATTACACCACCACGCCAGGAGATGTGAGTGGGCTATGCAGCTGTCTGAAAGCAGCTCCTTGACTCCACTGCTTTTCATCAGCTCCTCTTGCTGGAAGGAATCTGGCCTTACCCTGTCCTTACCCCGGTGCCCTGGTACCTGCAGCCTTGGGAATTGCTGCCAGTTTCTATGGTGAAAAGGTAAGTAATAATTACCACAAAACAAGAGTCACCCCAGGAGTCTCATATGGTTTTTGTTTTGTTATACTTTGCTAGTTACTGGAATTTAAGTTTCCCTGTCATTTCTATAGTCTCTCTAGCATTGATCCCGGGAGAGAGCCAGCAGCCCATTCTAGTTCACCCTCTTGGCAGGAACTAGGAGCCACAGGGGTGAATAAGCGTGAAAATCACTCTCAAGTTAAATGAGCAGTAACC